ATTTATTTTATAAATAAATAAAATCAAAATAATTCATTAATTTAAAAGATAAGTTTTTAAATTAATTAATTATTTAGTTATCTTTTAATTAATAAACAATTATCTTTTTTAATTAATAAATAATTATCTTTTTAAATCCTTAACTGATTTTTGACTTAGTAAAAATAACTGTTTACTTAAATTAAGGAAGCACGTTGATTTAGGAGTCAAGCTAGTGAAATCATGGTTCTCAACTTCCTCCACTTACATCCCAACTTCCCAGTATAGGTGAACGTGGGATTGAGGGGGAAGTAGGAACATGATGGAAGCTTGGATAATCTCCCTATAAAAACAGATCAACGTTAAGTTTTGAAAGTGTGGAAAAACAATCTTAAGTATTCTGAGCATAGAGTTTCAAAGTGTTTAAAAGAGAAGTTCCTTCCATCCTTAGTCTCTTAAGTTCTTTAGAAAATACTTGTAATCATTGTGTAATTGGGTTTGGGTTGTGAGAGTTGTAAAGTGTGAGATTTGAGAGAGTTGTTTACACTGTACAAGTGATTCGGAGTAGAATCACAAAGTGTGAGAAACTGTGATTGAGGGATCACAGTTGGGTAACTTGAGTTCCTCACGGAACTTGAGTCTAGGCAACGTATTAGTGATTGTAAATCATTTTTACATAGTGAATTTATTCATTGCCTATCTCAGTGTCTTTTCTCTTAGTAGTAGATTTAATTCCGCAAAATTTACCATAGTCTACATACACTACAATTCACCCCCCCCCTCTTGTAGTATACATTGTTCTATCATTTGGGTTTGGCTTTGGCACGAAGTGCTATATGGGTTAACTATAAATTGTGAAATATTCTCTTCGTTTATTAATAATAGCAGTAGTGTGATTGACACACGTATCAAATACACAATTTTTTTTTTATTTTAATAAGAGAACTAACAAATAAAAACAATAAAAAAGACCAAGAAATAGAAAAAGGACGACGAGCTTGAACCGCAAGCCAATGAGCCGGCAAGACCCAAGACCGAGGAACCTTCTGAATTTTACAAGCTGAAAGATCCCTGACTTCGACCCTGATAGCTCCAAGTAGCCAAACGCAAGAGATATCGTCCACAGACATCATAGTCAGTAAGGAAACCACCTGAGCATAATCCGTATGGACATGCAAACGTTCAAACCTCTCTCGTCTAGCTGCCCTAAACGCCCACAAGCATGCCAGAAGTTCAGGCTGCAGAGCAGAGCCCGCTCTTGTGGCCCGCAAGCCACCACCCAACACCAAATCCGAATGAAGATCTCGAAAAACCCAACCTATTCCAGCAGTATTGTCATCAGTGTTCCAGGCTCTATCAAATAAAAGGCAACAATCGAGGGTATCAGAATCGGAACCCCGAATCCAGCCTGTCATCGGGGGTAAAGAAGAAACCAAACGGGGAGTATCGGACGAGGCTCTAATCTCAGAAACGGTCGATGCCTCCTCCCCCTAGAAACCCATTCTGCAGCCAGGTGCAAAATTAGAGTAGGAGAAGCCACTGCATGACGAAAATCCTTGTGATTATGCGAGATCCAAACAGCCCACATGAAGGAAACAAAATAAGATAAACCAGGCCAATTCTTGACTGCTTTGAAATTTGTAACCGTATCAATGAACCAAGCTTTAAAAGGCCTATCCTGTAACGAATCCCGAGAGAAGAGCAGAGGACCATTAACTAGCAGATCGGAAACAAACTCGCAATCCCAACACAAATGAGAAGTTGATTCGCAATTCTGATGGCAGAAAACAAAGACGGGATAAACAAGCAATCCCACGCTGATGAAGATGAGCTGTGAGAGGCAAAGCATCATGTAACAACTTCCAGACGAAATCTTCAACTTTAGGAGCATAGAGAATCCCCAAAACTGCTTCCACCATATATCAGGAGCTGGAATGTAGCCACAAAAGCTATAGAATGTCAAACCAGCGAGGCATAAGAAGTCTTTGTGGAAAATCTACAATCCCTTGTAAACATCTAGTAGACAAAATCATCCATGATACCGGGAGGCCTTTCCAGCGAAATGATCCTCTGCACAAACAATGAGTCAAACGTACGATGTATCAAGGAAGTATCCCACGCGTTTGAACGCGGATTAATAATAGAAGAAACATGAGTCGGCAAGGTCAACTCAACAGACGAAACCTTGAACTTAACTGGGCCACCCGAAACCTAGTCATCCACTAAAATTCGAACCTTAGACCTTGAGCCAACTTTCCAAGTTAACCCAGTATACAGGGCATACATACCTTCCATGAGACCACGACAACCCCAGGAAGACTTGGAAATTCCACCTGCCCGAAACAAATTAAGGAAAGGATACTTAGAAAATAGAACTCTTGAAACTAAAAGCTGGGGATGATGTTGGATACGCCAACATTACTTTGCCAACAAGGCTGAGTTTAACAAACACACGCTCCGAAGACCTAAACCGCCAATACCCTTGGGAAGATGCAGAAGGGCAGTAGAGCGTTAGATGGAACCTTGAAAACCGAAAGAACATGATTGAACGAGGCTACCAGAACCGAGTTGATGATCACTAACGTGGCGGCTGTTGACAGTCGCAACGAAGCAAAATCCGCTAAACGCTTAGCTACAGAATCCAAAAGACGACTGAAAGCGACTACCTTGCTACGCCCCATGTCCACGGGAAGACCAAGGTAGGAGCCCAGAGAATCCTGACAATGGAGACGCATGCTACTTGCTAAGGAATCTCGGTAATCAGACGATGTATTTGGACTAAACTTAGCAAATGACTTCTGAAGTTTAATCCTTAGTATTTGTATTTAAATACTAGTATGTAAGAACTAAGAAGTACAAAGGTTGACATAAGTATAATATATATGAAGAAAAAATTAAAAATATTTTACACGATAGCATACTTTATCAATTTTTTACTTATTACAAAGTTTTATACGTAGCTGACTACAATGTCTGGCTAGGGTCACTTATCAAGAGGTTACTCAGTCGGTAAGGCAATATTCAGTCGGTCAGGCGATACTCAATTGGTCAGGGGTTACTCATCGATTGGTTACAGTTAACTTGGTCAGAGGTTACTTGTTCGGTTAGGGGTTACTTGATGGTTAGAGTCGAGGTTATTTGATTAGTATATTGGTGTTTGTCATCCGATTACACAGTTACAGAAAATGTGGTGTTTATATATTGGTAAAAAAGTATATTCAAATGCATATATCAATAGTGTAAAGGTCAAATTGTTGCGATTGTTATGAAATACGAATTGTGGGTGGTATGAATAAAAAATTGGTATACTCTCAATTTTATTTCTTGTGATCTTACTTAGAACTTTCATCTTTCAAAGATTTATTACGGATGGAACTGAATTGATAAATATTTCGTATGCACAACTAATAAATTATGTGAGATTTTGTTTGGTTCATCCATAGTAATAATAATAATAATAATAATAATAATAATAATAATAATAAAATCACAAAATTTGTACTCTATAATACACATTTCAAGATATTTCGGCTTAAATAAAATTTGTAAGAAATGAAACACAAAAGGAAAATTACAAGGTTATGTATGCTCCATCTGCTTCTTTGTTAACTAAAGATTTGTCTAATTTTAGTTAGGAGAAACTTTGATTATGATTCTTTATTAATATACGCACACAAATTTGCTAATAAGCTTCCCACATGGTAAGGGTCTGTTCTCATTGACTGAAATGAGTTGAACTGAATTAAATTGAACTAAACTTATTAGAGGTTGAACTGAACTGAAATGAATATTTTATAAGAGAAGGAAATTAGAAGCTGGAGTGAATCGAAGATAATCATATGAGAACATACCCTAAATCAAAGAAAGGTAATAGAGATAGGGGTGTCAAAAACCTATCCAAGCGACTTGATTTAAAAAAATAAAATTCAACTATCATCTTGTTGGAACACAATATATATAACATATTTAAGCCTTGTTTAGTAAAGAGCTTATAGCTTATTATACCCAATTAGAAATTTAATTATTATAAAAAGCTAATTTGGGTATTTGGTAATTTATTTTTTTACAAAAATCACAATATAAGAGCTTTTTGAGATGAGCTTATTGAACAAATTAGTTTTTTTAGCTACGAGTACCAATTAAAAGAATGCTCTCAAGTAGGCCACTTTTTCTAGATGACAGTTAGGGATAATCGTAACTAGCTATTTATCAAACATTTTTACTCAATAAGCTAGGTACAACTAATTAGTCAAAGTATCTAATATAACTTCTAGTCAAATCAATATTTGATCTTACTAAACTTGACCCCGACGCTAGGAGGTGACAATATTTTTAATATGGAGAAAAGTTAGTGGGTTGATGTAGAAACCAAATTTAACCAGAAATAAAAATAATGTAGAAACCATAAAATGATCAAAACAATACTCCACTTCTTTTGATACAAATCTTACCAAAGAGAAAAAAGATGTTGCAAATAATTCCCTCAAAAAGCGTTGCAGATAATAAAGATAAAATAAATAAAATAAAAATACAGCAACAAGTAAAATTTGTGCTTGTGCAAGTCATCAAAATTCAAAAGCAGGCAAACGCTACCAAAAAAAACAATAAAAAAAATAAAGATTTAGCAGTAACCCACATGTAAACTTCTGGTACATTGACTAATACAAAATTATACATGTAATTAAACTTAAAGTTAAAGTGTATTATTATTAAGTATGATGATTGATTTGATAATGGGGAATGGGGACAATTAAACATTTAAATATTAATTTTTTAATAAAATAATATTATAAAAATTAGAAAATCTAAATATGGTTCACTTTTCTAGGCATCTCTACTACTCTACTCAAAATATTGTCACGGTCAGGGGTGATGGAGATGGAAATGACCCAAAGTGTGCATTTATTATTCTTTTGCCTTTTTCTTTTATTTGACCAGAAAACACCTCTACCCCACCCTCTTCCCCTGGGCCCCACCCTATCTCTCTTCCTTCTATATATTCCTCCTCATTTCCACCTTCTCTTTCCTCATCCTACTTACTCTCTCTCTCCTCTTTCTCTCTCTAGTCTCTACAATTGAAAACAAGAAAATTGCACAAGTAAAGCTTTATTTTACTATTTTGCCCTTCTCTTTCTCTCTCTATCTCTAGAAAGGAAAAGAAAGAAAAAAAAAAAAATTATTAAAATGGAGGTAATTTCTATTTCTCCTTCAAAAAGACAAAGGGAAGATGAAGCAATAATTCAAGAGGATGAAGATGTCTTTAAACGTCAAAAGTCGTACAAAGACATAATTACCCTTCTTGAAGAAGAGGAAGATGAGCCTAGTGATGACTTATCTTCCTTGATTTCTACTCTTCAAGAGGAGATCTCTACTACTACTTCCTCCTCCTCCCCGTCTCAGCACGGGCCCGACCCGGTTCATGACCCGGCTAGTTCGGGCCCGTATGAGACTGACCCGGAGAACCCGTCCATCGGGTCCGGGTCAGGGGCAGAAGAGAGGAACAACGTCATGAGGCACCTCCTTGAGGCGTCGGACGACGAGCTGGGTCTGCCGAACTCCAGCCTGTCGGACGGGTTTGATGAGGTTGCTGGAAACGGACAGTTTGACGGTGGCGATTTCTTCTTCGATACTACTGTCGGAGGGGAAGGGCTTTGGGAGTTTGAAGACCGTGAAGCTGCTAATTATTACAGCTTGTTACAGTCTACTGAGATTTTCATGTAGTTTGGTGGTTCGGTCCTCGTAGTTACCCTCAATTTGCAAAGAAGTCCTTTTTGTTGAGGGGTTAGGAGGTTAAAAAAGGAAAAGTCTAGGGGTCGAAGGGGTTAAAAAAAAGAACTGAGGAGGAAAAAAGGAAAAAAAAAAGTGAAAGAAGGACTAAGAAAGAAAGAAATGAAAAGCTGTTTTTGGGTAATTTTCATTTTGGTCCCTCGTATCTTCTTTTGTAAATTGTTATACAACCCCTTTTGTTTAGTAGAATTTGAAAAAGGAGTAGGAATGACAAATTATTTGACTTGTTTATTGCTTCTACTTAATTCTTTTGTTACCAAGACGGTTTTAGTTTCTTACCTAATCTAATCTTTATTTTATTTTATTTACTAGTTTACTCCTAATTTGTTATTCCGTACAAGTATTTATTTTGCACTTGGGACCTTGGTTATCCAAACAATATTTTTACACCACCCAAAGAAAATAAAAAAAATTATTTCCTCTAGATTTAGATATTAGGCTAACCATTTTTTTTTTTTTTATAAATAAAATAGAAAAAGAGGTTAAACATATAACAACAAAATGACGCATAAATAAAAATTTACAAATAATTTTAATATTATACAATTCAAGTAATTTATTTAATTATTTAAATAAATAAGTATCAATATTAATAGGTTAATACTTGTATAATTTTAAATTGTTTTTTTTTAATTAAAAAAAAACTTTGTATGGAGATTAAATAGTAGAAATAAGGGTCTCTTCAATTCAAGCTTAATTTCAGTTTTGTTTCATTTCTAATTTTTTTTCTTCTCATAAACAGTTTTTAAGTTTCATAAATCGAAACACACCCTAAATCCCAATTGATACTCATAAGTGTAGATTTATACAAATATGCGAATTTGATTAAGGGTTTGTTCTCATTGACTGAGCTGAGCTGAGTTGAACTGAACTGAACTGAGCTGAGCTGAACTGAAATGAAATGAATATTTTATAAGAGAAGGAAATTAAAATTGAGCTGAACTGAACTGAATTTCGACGTAAGAGAATAAACCCTAAGTTAAGATAAAGGATTGGGAGTAATCTACTTTTCTTAATAACATATAAATCAAATCCTACAAATAGTGATAACTGATAAGTAGACATTTGTGTATTCCAAATGATGAATACATAATAAAACATCACATTGATGTGTAATTTATATCATCACTTACTTAGTTAGTACCACTTTGTTAAAAGATTAATTCTTAAATCTAAGATTAACTAGATTGGAAATTCTAGCTAACCAATTTTTTTCTAGCTAACCCATCATGGCCATCAATACAAGTCAACCTCTTAAAAATAGAATGATGTGGAAAATCCCTATCAACTTATCAAATATTTCCCGTGTTTAAAAAAAAATAAATTACTTGACACTTTAACTTAAAATGTGTGAGTTTATTGAGAAAAGTGTTAAATAATAAGTAGGTACCTAATTAAGGGACGAAAAGAGTATTATTTTACATGTACTTATTATTGGAGGTCTATTCAAATTTCTAAGTATTTTTCTCATTATTTTTGTTACCCCTTTATGTACTTGTTTCTTCTTTTTCTTAAATCCCGTAAAATTTGGCAAAAGGAACTATTGTTCCAAATCACTTGTATCACTACGTAGATAATTAGATTTATATCCTTAATTAAACTGAATTAGCTTTACTCTTATTAAGATGATGTGAACAAATCAGCGTCGAAATCAGGAGTTAAAAACCTAAGAGGAACAAGAAACGATAAAGTTAACCAAAAAAAAAAAAGCTCATAATGAGGATTCAAACTTGAGACCTCCCTCTCCATTCAAAGCTCCAACAATCAACTAGGCTATCACTAACAACATGATATAGAGTAGGTGAAACGCTAAACATCGCCCGCAAATTAACATATAAAGCCCACAAATATGATTTGGTGTGACCATTATGCCTATTTTCTAAAATTGAAATAATCTCGGTTTAAAAAATGTGGAGCCGTACTGGCTCGCCGGGGGAGACCGGAGGGCAGGCCGGAGATGCGGAGGACGCCGGAGGTACGTCGTTGTCGACGGAAAACGAGGTAAGTCACCGTTAAAATTCACGGTTTACCGTCGGAGTGGCTCCGACGCCTAGGATGGACGCCCAAACCGTAGCCTGGACGTCCAAGCCAGACGCTAGAACCACCAGAGTGGCGTCCAGCCCAGACGCCCAGACCACCAGACTGGCGTCCTGGCCAGGCGCCACTCTACTGGCTGAGGCGGCCCTGCCAGGCGCCAGTCCAGTGGCTGTGGCAGCCCTGGCAGACGCCACCCTTATAAATTAATTTATTTTTTTTTCTTTTTTGATTTTGTTGTTGTTTTTTATTTATTTTTTTTTAAAAAAAAAAATCGAAAATGATTTTTTAAAAAAATTCGAAATGGATTTTTTTTAAATTAATTTTGAAAATTCGAAATAGGTTTTTTTTAAATTAAGTTTGAAAATTCGAAATGGTATATTTTTAAATTTAGTTTGAAAATTCGAATTGGGTTTTTATAAAAATTAAGTTTGATTATATATAATTATGCTTTTTTGTGTTAATTCTATGTAAATATAGAAATTAAATGTATTATCCGTTAAATATATTTATTGTAATATATAATTGATGCAGGAATATGGTGGAGACGGAAATGATTACAGTGGGATATTTGGACATGATGGTCATTCGAAGAAGCTCAACAGGCGATTGATTGGGCAAAACAGGTTGCAATTGCAGCTGGATTTTGCTTGGTAGTAGTAACTCATAAATCTCAACGGGATGGTAGAATGGATCGCATTTTGAGATGTGACCGTTATCGCAAAAGAGAAGAAAGAGATTTTCGTACAGCCACTCGGTTTGATACAAAGCGGAAAGGTTGTGGGTGTGAGTTCAGAGTAAAGGTTCGACAACTACGGAGTCGTGACGGTTGGGAAGTGATTGGTTACTCTAAATGGGGGTATCACAACCATGAGATGATAGTATATGAAGAGGGTCATCGACAACTGAGCGGCTTAAGTCCTGCTGCGAAACTAGTTGTGAAAGAAATGAGTGATGCTCAAGTCAAGCCTGCTAAAATATTAGCATCTGTGTTAGAGAAATTTCCAGAAGACCATCCAAACCGAAGACACATCTACAACGTCAGACAGCAACTCAGGTTTGAACGGTCAGAGGGAAGGAACCCTATACAGCAGCTGCTACACCAGGCACAATCACGTGGTTACCTGTTCTGGTTTGATTCTGATGAAGATACAGCGGAGGTGACTCATCTTTTCCTTGTGCATCCTGATTGTGCTGATATGATCAAGTCTTGGCCATTTGTGATTTTGATCGACTCAACGTACAAGACAAACAAGTACAAGTTCCCACTGGTTGAGATCATGGGGATGACTCCAACGAACCAGAACTTTCTGATTGGTCATGCAATCATCAAGGATGAGACGGCTCCAAGTTATTATTGGGTGTTGGAGAAGCTGAGAAACTACATCGGGCCTAATGTTCATCCAGCAGCCATCGTCAGCGACTGTGAGGGAGGTCTCTTTGCCCCCATAGCAGAGCTGTTTCTCGAATCGAACCACTTATTGTGCACATGGCACATCAACAACTGCGTTAAAGTGAAAGCCTACAACCTTTTCAAGAAGAATTTGGAAATGGCAGAGAGATTGGTGAATGGTAAGTGGCGGAAGATCCTACAGGCTACCACAGAGGAAGCGTATGAGCGAGCATTGGCTAACTTCAGGGATTCGTACCAGTGGTGTCCGGCACTGGTGGACTATGTGATGCAGCAATGGGTCCCTCACAGGGAAAAGTTTGTCAAATATTGGACAAACCAGGTACTTCATTTTGGGAACACTACAACATGTAGAGTTGAGAGCGCTCATAGAGCTACCAAGGACTGGATTGATTCATCGACCGCTGCTTTGGATACACTGTTCGATAGACTTAACAAGTCAATTGAAACTCAGAAGAACGACATTAGGAACTCTCTAGAGGACTCCAGACGACGACATGGTACGATGTATATCCATTTTATATTTAAGATTCTCCATGGTCGTGTGTCGCACTACTGCTTGGGGTTGATTCTCACTGAGCTGAACAGGATGAGGGACTTGGCTGACGAAGTGTATGCTCGGTGTGGGTGTGCTATTTCAGTAACTCATGGATTACCTTGCGCATGCACCATTCACCGCGTTATTACAGAAGAAAGGGCTTCGTTACATGTTGATCAGGTCCATTCATTCTGGAGGACGCTTGTTATTGGTGAGCATGCAGACACTCAAACGGCCGACCGTGAACAGGAGGAGTTGGAGCAGTTTCGTTTGATGTACGACCGAGTGTCCTCCATCCATCCTTCTATTATTCGTGACGCTACTCATGTACTTCATGACATGTTCCACACGTCTACCTTAGATTATGAGGAACCCGAAGGAGTTGACCGTCCTCGAGGTCGACAACGGCGGAACAGGAGTGTGTTTGAGTATATCCGTGGTCTTGGTCGTGCTCGTGCTCGTGGTCGGACATCGTCATCTAGTCGTAGTCAATCTTCATCGTCTGTGAATATGCCCCTGAGATCTGGGACATTTTGGTTGTTTTTATTGCACATAGTTTTAAAGTGTTACTCCTGCCTTCTTAACTGTCTATAATTATATGGTGAATAGGAAGAAACGATGTTGATCAGTTTCCGTACAAGGAAAGGATACCTGCGATCATCATGTCGTACTTGGAAGGGTGGAATGATGTAGTCGGAGATCATCATCCGACTAGACATGTCATCCGATTTTCCAGTGCCACCGATTATACCTCGGTGGTACAACATTCGCATAGCGAGCGTAGAGGGTTGGGATGCGCTATATCATGACCGGATCCACGAATGGAACACCCTAGCTGCATTTTAGTTTTTCATGTTTACATTCTTTATTTGTAATCTTATTTGTACGTTGCTCTTTTAATGAGAACATTAATCTTTTATATTGTATTGCTTACTGCATTCTATATGTTGCATGGGTAAGTTGCGCGGATCCACGAACGGTTATATCAAAATTTAAAAACAACAATGATAATATGTTTAAGTTGGAAGCTAAAAGAACAATTTAAAATGTTATAAACTTACAACATAATGTCCAATTTAATAAATTAAAACGATGATATTTAAAGTGCTCTATAAATAAAATGACAAAACCATCAGTAATCCCTCCTCGACGACGATTCCCACTGCGCAAGGGTCTGTTCCAGACTATCAACAACAGCTCTCCCTGTTGCACTCATGCTGTCCTTCTCAAGAGAGAGTTTCTGTACGTCCTGCATTATCTTTCCCATCCACTGCATACAACAAAAAACAAAAGAGTTTGTATCCGGCTGCCCTAACACTAG